AGGATTTATCTTCTTTTCAATTGTATCCTTCCCTATTTATTCATTATCTAAACTTTCTATTACATTTGAAATAGATAAATATCATTTTCTCCTTGACTTTAATCTTCACTAATGACACAGATCTTCATAGGTGTTGCAAGGTATGCCTGCCACCTTTAATTTTCTCTAGCAATGAAAAAAATAGTGCCTTAGTCTCCACAAATATGTTTTTCTACTTTTTTAATATTGATGAGCTTGATGTGGAGAGTGGAGACTGTGGGTCAGCCTTGATTTTCTTCTCCATCCCGTCCTGTACATTGATTTGTTCACTGCCAGTCTTTTCCTTGTTCCTGAATGAACCAACTCATCCAGGTTTAAATTGCTGGCTATTTATTAGAAACATATTAACAGCCTAATTTAAGCCTGTGATTTGCAATTTTTAGAAGAAATTCTTGTATCTTTATAATCTTGTGGATTCTAATATGTATGATTTGGAAAAATATGGTGTGTCTTGACCAAGGGTTAATAAAGTTGACCTGAAGACTAGGGTCAAGTTTTATCAAATAAGGTTCATTCTTGGCATTTTATGTCTTTTTGATCCATTAATATATTTGAGAGTTGTTGATAAATCTTGACATAGTAGAAGTAAATTTTTTTGAGCATGTACATGCTATGAGCCTATATGAAGGTTGTTATAGCAAAATTAGTTCAATGTTAGACATGTTATGCTAGAACTAGAACTTGTCTCTCTCATGGTGCCTTTAATCTGTTACTTTAGGTGTTTTATTGGATTCATGATATCCTGAAGCTTTCTTCACAAAAAATTGGTGTACACATTATATGCTAGAGTTCATTTGTGTCTTTTTATGCTTTAGTGTTGTTATGTGTTTCATTTTCTTAGTCTTTGCTTTTCCATTTCAGTTCTGGGAACTCGCATAAATGATTTGTTTGAAGGCTTTTATGTAATTCATTGATCATATTGATTAAATTTTAGGGCAGCACATGTTTATGTTTGTGCTAACTTGGTCAACATGGCTCGACCAACAAGTCGTCAAATACCTTTGAAGCATCAGAAGGCACTGTGGTATAGTGGTGAGTGCATGGGCTACTTTGATATCACTGAAGTCTAGCTTAGTTTTTATTTAAAATTCATATACATTATGCACATCCAGGTCTTAGAGGGGCTATGGCTTTTGCACTTGCTCTGCAATCAGTACATGATCTACCTGAAGCACATGGCAAAACGATTTTCACAGCTACCACTGCAATTATTGTTTTAACAGTAGGTGCTTATTCTAGTAATGCATTTGGCTTTAGTCAAATATAATAAACGTGCAAATACTTATCCATGTTGTTATGGCTTGCTTTTTGATAACCTCATGATTCATATTTTCTCTCCTTCAATATGTTCTTGATACTATGATATGTACTTTATGCAGGAGCCATATCATACTTCTGAAGATGTCAATTACCTACTGCTTAGCTTTTCAGTGTAACACAAACATATTTTCTTAGCTAACCCTCATCTTGGCTCTAGGATGCTTTTTCAAGTATGTCACACCATATTAAAGTTCCTAAAAGTTTGGTAATTCATAGAATAACTTTCCTGATCTGCATGCATGGACAAATTTGGCCGTACATAGGCCTTATTTGTGCAATAAGTCATACTCTGTGGAATTCAAATATGTCTAACTATATCTTTTTGTTGTTTATTGTTGTGGAGCATTGTTCTCGAAGTTGGTTACCTGGGCTCTATTGTCAAAAAAATTCTTTGCAGCAACCATCAATGAAGTTGAACTTGTTGCATAAAGATGGCACTTTATATACATGCATACAGTAGTGTCAGCATGCAGTATCTCTATTGTAATAATTTTGAGGATAGGAAAAGCAGTAGAGCAAATTGAAAAGATATGGAAAATGGAATCTTGTGAGTCTATGTTTGCTAGAGCCAGCATGGAAGGGCCTTCTTAAGCTTGAAATATGATGGATAATCTTCAGTAGATTTTAGTGCTGAGATGTATTCTTCACTTAGTTATAAAATCAAAACAATGGATCATGGAAGGTAGTATCCAAAAGTTTCTTTCCTGGAATTTCTCTTTCTTCTTCTTTAGTGGTAGTTGATTATGTTCTTCCCATTGTTTCAGATGCTTCTTCTGATGCACATTCTCATTTCCCCTACATTTGAGCTAAATGATGTTCCAAATTGGAATATTTAAGATTAAAACAATAAAAAATGAATATTGTAAGCTTATTTATGTTTCTATTCAGGGCATTTAAGATTCAGCAAATAAGATCATTTATTATGCTTCAAAGACTTTACATTTATTTTGAAACATTATCTTTATCAACTTGAGGCTCAAGTGTTTTTTCTTAAACAATGATGTGGTTTTTCGTGCAGGTAATATTGGTTGGAGGCTCAACTGGTACCATGCTTGAAGCTTTAGAAGTAGTAGGCGATGGTCAAGATGGGGCTCTTGAAGTAAGTTGTTCTGGCACCTGACAAATCAGTTTATCATTCTTCTTCTGTTGGATAATTAAGATATTACTGGTTATATTCCATTTCCTTTTTTGTTTTCTGTATCTGGTGATCCAAGTATGAGAATGCTGATGTGAAAATGATGCAGCACAGCCATATATTTGACTGACAATCATTTTGTCTGATGCATCTGGACTACAACATTAACCATGCACCACCCTATGAGCGATATCATGAGCCTGAGGGTTCAGTAAAATTGTTGAAGAAATGAGTAAAATGATTTATTATATTATATTTCTTTTAAACCAATTCTTCCAAATAAACAAATTGTTGGGTGTTGGAAGTTCCTTTAATTCTTTCGATTCTTCCTAGAGTACTTATATCCCTTGTTCTTTAATCAAGTTAGAACTAACCTTTAAGGCATGCCAAGATATTTGTGATTTATATATATGCTCAATTCTTTCAGACCATCGAGAGTAACAATGGCTACATTGCCCCATCATATCAAGAAGGAACATCATCTGGGAGTAACCTGAAAATGAGGCTTAAGGAGTTCCATAAAAGGTTTACTTCAGATTTTATAGTTTATATATCCTTGTTTTCTGCAGTATTAGTCATTGATAAGCTGCTTGTACTTGGATTGCTGCTGCAGCACAACATCTTTCACTGCATTGGATAAGAATTATCTCACGCCATTCTTTACTAGTCAAAATGAAGAAGAGGACGTCTCTGGTAAGACAGAATGCCCTTCTTATGTATGATATGAGCTGCATTGAGCGTCTGTGGTCAACTTGTTTTAGTGGAATTTCAACTCTCACACGAGTGCATGCATCAACTTATACGATTATTTGAAATTTTTTTTAACAGTCTTAGTTTGTCTTTTTCTGAGACACCAGTTCCCACTATTTCCTCATCTAGATTGCCTCCAAAGAAGGATTGACACCAGAACAAAAGCTTGCCTAATATCAAAAGATCATTGACTATGACAATTGAGTTCTGGAAATATGGTCAGAATAAATTGAGTTCCATTTAGATGCTATATGTTCCATCAAATGGCCCATACTAGCATCATGTCAGTTAAACCTCATTGGATTTCTTTATTTTCTTTTCCGTATATGTTTGCATTTTTATCAAGCAATTGTATGTTAGTGATAATATGCTAAATTGCTAATTCAAAAGAACATGTCACTGAGGCATGCGATGCTTTGATAATTCTTTAACTGTGTCCCTCTCTGCAACTTATACTGAAATAACTGTTGTATCTCCAACAGCACCAGCAGACATACTGTTCTCTTTTTATAACTTGATTTGTTCCTGTACTGAGTGTTGGTCATTATTTTTTCCTACCAACAGCACTAGTAAAGAGCCAAAGACAGCTATACTTATTAACTTGATTTTTTTTTCTTGCATAAGGATTAGATGTGGGATCTCTTGTATTGTGTGCTAAGACTGGTATAGGAGCTTGAATCCATGATTTAGCTGTTAGAGATGGTACAATAATTTGCTTCTCGATATTTTACGATACATAATTTGATGCATGTAGGTGTACACTCTTCATATGTAAGCTAAAAGTTCATACAAATTATCCTAATGAATATTTGATGGAAATAGAGGTAGGGCATCTTCTGTAATCATTGGTAAGCTCATACATTCCACTTTTCTGTATCTGGTGTCTGAAAATGCTGCAGATTTTTGAAATATTATCTGTTTTGTTGCCTGTTTCTGTGCGTTGTTACCTTTTGTCTAATCTTTTGCACTGATAGCTGTGTTCTTATGGTTGCAAATCAGATGAATCGATGCGGACTCCTTCAAGAGGAAGATTCCAAGACCGTGCATAGATTCCATATCGTTAATTCGCCGGGGGATCTCGAGAACCTAATCGTTCTTCTTCACGAGCATCATGCTCACAGTCGCCAAGCAGGAATTCAACCGACTTTCCCTCATTAAGTGTATTAGCCATGTAAAAGAAATCATAGCTTCCCTTACACCGTGATAATGCAGCAAAATAATTTTCACGATAAGTTTTAACCCAAGAAATGATGAAAGACAGCTTATCATGTACATATCGTCGCAGCAGTTCAGTATTATTTCATGTAGTTGCCTTTGCAGGGTAATCACCGTGTATTGCTCATCCATTTTTTTGCTTTAAAAACAGGTGAAAAAGGAAAAATAATTTATTATTATTGTTATTAAAGACAGCTCGATGGGCACATGAGATGATATATCTCACCCGAATGTTTTTATTATGTCAAATAGAGATAATTATAGCAGGTGTTTTATTATGTCACTTGAGATATCTCGTCTCTTGCAACGGCCATGGTTTCAGTTACTAATTGTTATGACGGGGGTCATTCTAAAAGCAGTGGCTTATATGCGAGCCGATATCTCACCTGAACGTTTTATTGTGTCAAATAGAGGTAAATATAGCAGTTCGGAGTCATCGGAACTCACTGAGTTCACTCGAGAAAATCGAGCAGCGAGACAATTTAATAAAGAAAATAAATAATAATAATAATAATAATAATAATAATAATTGGGAGTTATCGACCTCGCTCGCCCTCTTGCATCTGTCTCTCTTGCTCCTCCCTTCGAACCCTAGAAACCGTACAACTCTAGCAATTGCACCGCTGTCGCCCCTCTCATGCGCACCGGGATACTTCAAATCCTCGATTCTTCGTTGTCGCGGTCGCGAATGGGTCTGCTTGATACGGTGCCCTAAATCCCTCGATCAGAGTAGCTACTTCCACCTGAATTGCTTCCTCCCAATCGGCTCCTCCGGCTCTGGAGGCCCTGTTCCGACGCCAGGAGTTGAGGTTTCTCGACAAGGAGGCGCTTTGGAGGCGTGTCCCCAATCTTTGGTCGGAACTGGGGTATCTGCAAGTAGGAGTAAGCTCGCAACTTAAACGCCCGCTTCATAGATCCTCTGGTGCTGTGCATGAAGTTTCCGACGTGAGGAATTCTAGGGTTTGTTCGTTTTGAACACCTCTCTGAGCTGCTGGACTCTGCTCTGCTGCGACTGTGTTGTGAATGGCGAGTTCTAGTGCTCGCAAAGACAATTCGTGAACTTCTTGATGATTTTAACAGAATCTTTGTGGCTGGTTTTGAGAACGTAACGGGAACACCGGTCGTTGGTGCTGCTGTGCGCGAGGTCGGGGTAGCAGCAGCGGCAGTTTGAGCTGGGAAACAAAGTTGGAAGTGAAAGAGAGATGAAGTGGACATGAGTAGGCTTTCATTCAGGCCTCGGCCCCTTGACATTCACAAGAAGCTCCCCATTGTCAAATCCGTTAAAGAATTTGATGATGACGAGGCGCCTGCCACAGCCGCTTCAACCCGCAACTCACACCTGCTCCGAATTGCAACTGAGAATGAGGTAACACCAATATCGTTATAGCAGGTTGAACTTGAATTTATCGCAATTATTTATGGTGCATGGATTTTTCTTCTCCTATGGTACTCTGAACAGGTTGTGCAGTTAGAATCTCACACTCAAGTATTCTGAGTGTTGCATGAGGACTATGTATATTTGACCCTTTCCAAATCCCGTATTAGCTGAAGCTTCATGCTCTCGACCACTAATTTTCTTTAGTTATTTGTTTGCTAATATGACAAACTTAGTTATTCATTTGTTATCACTTTTTGTCATTCTCGTAGCTTCAGATTTTTCACCTTATTCAGTGTCTTTCGGTATTCCATAGGAGGTGCCGAAGGAGGATGTTCTGTCTTTGTATTTCTGTGCCTACGTATGTTCTTTTAGCCAATCTTTTGGACCTTCAGGTGGATGTCACCCTTGACCACCTTGTAATGCCTAAAATGCAAAATGTTTGCAGAAGTGCTAAATGTCCAGTGCTTGCTCTTTTTACCATCAGGCAGCAGTCTAGTTGGTAGTACTTATTTTGAACTGTGAACCATCTTATGAAGTTAGATCAACTAATATGACAAAGTGACTGACAGAATTATGTTATTCTTTTTAGGTGCATCAAACTCCAAGCAAGGCAAGTTCTCAAGAAATTCCTACTCCGCAGTTCAGTGTTGTGGACACATATGAAAGAGATTATACCCCTACCTTCACACCAACTGCATCATATATACGTGGAAGAGGAGGTTTTTATTGAATTTTGCAAGATATTACTACGAAGAAAGAATTCCTATTTACATTGCATGTTTTGATATCTTTTTCATTGTTAACATCTTGTAGCTCGGGCTGAGATTGGTGAATTTGTTGAATATGACCTGGATAATGAGGATGATGGTTGGCTTGAAGAGTTCAACTATGAAGGGAAGACTCTTACACCTGAAAAGTAATAGTCATAGTATAGACTTGGTGACCACTATGCTTATTGTATTCTTCAATGCTATTTTGCTTCATGATCTGTAAAATTTGGACCTTCATTGTCCCCCTGGAATGCTAGAAATACATTATTGAAACAGTGAATTGTTATTATGCATTATTTACTCTTAAGACTTTCTTAATGAAAAAACAGGGTGGGTTGGGAGGATTAAAGATGATAAGAATGATAGTCGTTCTTGGTAGTAGATTGATCAAATAAAAAAAAATATTTTACCCACATAAAGAAGAGGATGAATTATTCCATAGCTGTAATGGTAATGAACTAATGATTACAGTTGTGATTTAATGAACAAATGATTACAGTCGTGATGATTCAATTATTTTTTGGTTTTTGTAATATTATCAATGCTTTAATGTAAGTTTACATTGGAAAAGACCAGGAGAGCTGCCCGTTTTTCTTTTGGACAAACAAGCTGCTGCATGGAGAGAATCAGTAAAGCAGATGCTTTCTGACCTCTTCTATAAGTTGATTGCCCTGCACTGGAAGACTTAGAAGAAAAATGAAGAATATAATTTAACACTTTGGTACTAACAAGATTCACCTGTTACTGTTATTCGTTATCTTGATGATTCATTTATTCTCCTCCTCTATGTCAAAAAACATTCAATCAAAGAGAAAAGCCGTTTTCTTTTACTGAAGTTTTTTCAATGCACAGAATCTTCAAGTTTTGTATGCCTATCAGAGGAATCTGCATGGGCTCTTCGAATCTCATCTTAATACAGTTAGCCTTTGCTAAATCAGTTTTCAGAAAATAATGCTATCATTTCATGGTAATGCTATTTCATCACAGCAGTAATGAGTCCTCTGATTCTTCTGACTGAGGCTATGGAGATCGGGGAAGGTTCAAGTTCAACCACCATGTTTAGCAAGAAAAATAACCTAAGCCAGTAGCCTGCCTGCAATGCGGCAGAGATTCAATAGAGAAGTCCTTCCTCATGTTTATGACCCTGTAGCCAGAGCCACATGTAGGTATTAAATGGGAGCTCTAGTGCATGAGGTTCCTACAAATGTAGTGTCTCATTAGCTGTACCATTATGAAAGGAGGTTGTGGAAAAAGAGGATGCTCCAAATGAGTTGCAACCATAGACTAAGTGTGTTTTCCATGGGACCATCCAGTATGTCACAGGTTGATTTGAGGCACGCAAGATTCATTCTGGAACTGTACAGAGAACATGCTGCAAATTATGCTTCTAGTTTAATATGTTCTTTCTTTTCGGTGATTACTTTTATGAACTTAAGCTTATTTTAACCCAGGTTTGAGACCATTTTGTTCAAGCTGGAGGTTATGGATCATAAAGCTCGAGAACGAGCAGGAGTCATAACACCTACTTTTGGATCACCTATTCCTGTTCTTTTACAATTTGATGCAGCAGAAGAGGTTAATGACTATATTTCTGGAGTTTGTTTTTTATTATTCATATTGAGTCTAGTTCCTCTCATGTCCAGATCTATTATTTCTTAGCATTTGTTTACTGTCTAAGCAAAGCATTATATCTAGCATGATAGTTAAGGACAAAAATTCATTCTCCTAAGTGAGATATATGATTTACAGTAGTTGTGCTTAAACAAATGGTTCACGTAAAAATATTTTCTGATGTTGATAAGAACTGGGCTATGTATGAGAAATGTTGGTGACACATTTCTCATACATGATTTTTTTTTTAAAGATGCTGATTGCACAACCTTTCACTGGCAGCTAGCTTATGTGCTGTGATTTTTTAAGATGTAATGGAGCTTAACAAGAATGGAATTTTGCCTGGTAGCTAATAACAAAACTCTTTAACATTGCCAACAATTTGCTCAATTTTTGCAGGCTTTGCAACCCCTATGTGTACGATATCCAGTTTTCCAATCTGTATATAACTATTGGAAATTAAAGGTATGTTTTATGTGGTGAGAGAAACAGAGAGTGACCACCATTTTATTTTTTCATTGTTCAAAATATATGAATCTGAGGTTTTATCTCTGGAGTTGATTTATAGATTCAATCAAATTTATATTTTGACTCCATTGATTCTTACTTATGATTTATTTGTCATTTATCAGAGAGAACAGTGGCAAAAACCTATCTTGCGACGCCTGCAGGTTGGCCCCTTTTACTTTTTTTTCTTAGAATGTTGGTGTTCGTTATGTTTTCTAAGGTGAATCTCGTTCCTTTGCTTGCTACACTGATTTTGTATAAATTAACTAAAGCAAGCCATATGATAATAACTCCTTTAAGATTGGTGAAAGAGTCCAAGATGAAGATAGCACTGGTAGCAGTAGTCTTAGATGAAGAATAATGACATTTTTTCTGCCAAATCTGTAATTCTGTCTGATGTTCTGTTATACTATATGTGATTTTGCTTGTATTAGTTTTATATAACTTGCCACTGTGACTCCATACAGTATCCCAGTCCTTACTATTACAGCCCATCTATCTATAGGGTTAAAGGTTGTGTACATTATTGGCAGGAGCCTTGTGCACTAGATCTTCCATCTATGGTATTTTAATCCATTGGTGACAATTAGAACAAGTCTCTTTTGGTTGAAAGGAACCTTTACAAAGTTTATTCATTTATAATATTAACAAACATTTTAAACATGATTGTTGAAATAAATTATGTTGGTTCAGTCCCAGTAAGAAGTCGCTCAAAGATAATTAAAATCAAAAAATTATTGAAAGATGTATCAAGATAACCGAATCTTAAAGTAGTATATAGAACTTTCATTCGTTAAACTGCTTTCTAGGGGATAATGGATGATTCCTTGATAAGTTTTGATGCTTTATATAAATATCCAAATTTATAGCAATTGTAGAAATTGGATTTTTCAGATACATGGGGATACTTACCTTTGAGTATTACTCTTTTGATGATGAAAAACTTAAATTTATCATTTTCTTCTCATTTTGCTGAGCCAGTATATGGTGGAGAATTGAACCTACCATTCTGCTTTTGTGTTTATTCATTACGGTCAATGTTCTAAAAAGTGGCTGACCTGTGCAAGTAAATCAAGGTACCCCATACCTCATGAACAATATGTCCACAATATTTTTGCAAATTTTAGATTTTCCCAATGGGGAATGTTTGAAGTTATAGTTTAATGAAGAATTGAAGTTCATGTAGATAATCTAGTTCTATAATCGAAAAATTAAGAATGGATATCACAAGATCCTGGGCTTGAATCTTGCCTTCGCTACCTATCCTTTGCAAAAAAAGAAGAAGAAAAGGATTACAAATCAAAAGTTTGTGAAAAAAAAAAATGCTACCAAATAAGATTGTCATAAAAAGATAAAATAAAGTAGAGAATGTTATCCTATGCTTGTTGAGATACATATATGCTCAGAGTAAAGGAAACTTGACTAATTATTTTGAGTAACAATATTTTTCAACAGAATGGTATGTGCCATGTGTGGAGCCCTGCTGATACTAAATGATAGAGAAAAAGAATGAAAAATAAAAACCATTTGGGAGAAAAGTAAACGAATGAAATATACTTTAACTAGATTCAACCCATTTGCGATAAGGGGACAACAAAATAAAAACCAAGTTGCTGGATTGATGTCAAAAGATGCACTTGCTATGTCTGCCTTGTCGGATGCAACAGTCTTCGCTGCTTTTTTCGTAAACGTCATTGGTCACATTATTATCATGAGTTACCTTAGCTGCGAGTGGCATTAGGAATTTGGGATACCGTGCAAAGTGAAGGGAGGAGAGGCCGGGAGAGGTAAAGAAACTTGTGATACTCATCCCACTTTATAATTTGGGTTTACAGTGCCATTCTTTTATTAGAGTGGTGTGTGACCTTATATTGTTTCATGTTTGTTTCGGGGGTGTCTGTGTTCCTTCACTGGGCATTTAGTTTTATGGCACCAATTGATTTTATTGTGAAGATTTGTTCTATTTAGATATCTTTTTCTAGGTAGTTGTTTTGTGGTGGCATGACTTCTTAGAGAGGTAACGGTCCATAGATTAGGTTCAAGTTGTGGTGAAACAGACTTTCTTGCAATTTGTTCTAACCAGCACAAAAAAATGGAGAATGTTGTGCTTGAATGGCTTCTTTAATGATTCTTATCAGCTCCATCATAGAACTCTCACCTATCTATGAACTTCTGTTAGTTATTATAATGAAAATTTCTTTTGCTATTAATTTGGTCACTGGATGGAACATTATCTCTTGGGTTTGGTGGTGCATATAAAAAGTAAAAAAACAATTGCCTAAAAGTGGCAATGATCTTAGTTTGAGCTGTCCTAGGCTATGGCCTGCAATTATATGTTTGACTGGCTAATCTGTTCTTCTAGCATCGTACTCCATAAAGTTGTATATTTTCATAAAAGCAGTAGATGATTTGATCATATCTAATATATTTTGTGCTTATGCAGCCGCCTCCACCAGTTAATGATACAAATCCCTATAATGTATTCAGACCGAGAGAAAAGGCACACCGTCTTCACACAAGAAGGGTAGGTGCCGTGGAGTCAATTGTATATATAAATTAGTTGTTGACACAAAGGAAAAAGCTTTGTATAATTAAATAGAAAGATTTGCTGAAAGAAATGTAGTGCTTCTTGGTCTATATGCTGGATATTTGATGACTATTTTCTTTTTCCAGATGCAAAGGAGGGAAAACAGTGTTCAGTCATTTGAAAAACTTCGACAGGTAAATTTCATTGCTTTATCGCTTGTAACATAGTATATGGTATAAGGCACTGTTTAAAATGGTATGTATCAACTGGTCAGAATTGTTGAAGGCTGAGGTTCACTGAAGCACCAAGGTTGCTTGCAGCCATGGTACAAGGTGCAAGGCAAGGGGCACAGTATAGTGATTTAAGGGGCACTTAACGTGAAAATTTTTATAGAACAACTAAGATGAAGCAAATCTGCAATTGATATGAACTCCATTCACTAATACTGAAACAATTGTTAATCATTTTTTATTAATTTGCTTGAGTGGACAGCAGTGCTGATTTTAAAATGAATAACGAAATATCTGTAAAGAACATGAGGAGGGAAGATAGCTGGGAGAGGAATAGAAATGAAGGATGGAGAATTATTGAACAAGGAGTTAAAATCCAATTGTCTGATCTCTTTTCCTTTCTAAAGGAAAAATTTATGTATCTGTTGGCCTCTTTATCCTTTTCCGAAGAGCATAACTCTGCTCTTCGTATTATGCAAATCTCATAATTAGTACTAAAGCTACAGTTAATCATAACAAGTAATTTTTAGATTGAAATTCTGTCGAGAAAAGGTTGTACCAGAAAAGATGTTCCAAGGAATCGACTTTGGAGGGACCTAAAGAGATAAACTTTTCAAAAAAATGAAACTTGTTGAACTCACACTACTGTTGATGCCATTAGCCTCTAATTTAAAAAACATAATATATATGCTGTGAAGGAGGATATTTTTTTTCTATAATCTCACATATCAGTATTGATATTTTGATAATTATGTGGAAGAGATCGTGGATTTCTTGTCATATTTAAGAGTGGGATGTTGTTTACTTTTATTAATACTGTTTTTAATTGGTTATAGATTATATCTAGTATTTTAAAAGTTGTTACTTAGTAGTGGTGATATATGTCAATTGTCAACATGTATATATGTAGATTATGATGAAAAAACTGGACTCTCAATACATCTGAGTAGAAAAATGGATGATTGAGGTGTAAAAACTCATATAAACCAGTGAATGATATGGCCTATTATGCCTCTTCTATTCATTCTTTTAACAATATTGTAGAAATTGGTTGTGTTTATTATATATGTTTACTATGGCATCAGGATTTCTTGTCATCCTTTACTTACTGTACTTCAGGTCAGGCGTAACTTGGACCAGGCAAAGAGAATGCTTGATTCTTTGATTCAGGTTTCTTTTACAAAGCTCTATCCTAAATGGAAATTAGATCTTCTTACAAGGTCTGTTACATAATCAGAAAAGTCCATATTAATTACATGTATCGCAGAGGGAAGAGAAGAAGCGGGATATTGTTGAGTGCGAGGTCAAAATCCAGAGAATTCAGATGAAGTATAAGGTAATTCCAAATATTGTATTCTTCTTTCTGTATTATATAGGCACACAAGGTTATAATCGATTATCAATTTCTGTTATCGTTGTAAATTTTGCAATTTTTACTGCTAACATTTTTTTTGCCCTGAACCTAGAAAGGCTTTGAATCATGATAAATGGCAAGATTGACTCATAGGAGAACAATGTAAATAGTTGTTTCTGATTTGCAGACATTGTTCTCAGTGTTATTCTATTTGTTATTTGTATTTTATTCATGAATTTCCATATAGATCTATCTACTTACGATGCAAAAGTATGTTCTGATTTAAAGTTTTGATTTGATATTGCAATATTTATGGTGATATGACCACATTTTATTTGAGAGACTGGGTTTTTTATAAGGAGAAATAAAAATGTCTTGAAATAAATAAGAGGTCAAGGTTGAATCTTTCTTATACATGGTTTATTTCTACACATTTGATTTCTAAATAACTATTTTCTGATCAAGGCCTAGTGAAGGATCCAGTGATTGTTAAGGAGAGAAGTTATATTGACAAATATATTATTGGTGATGCCTATGATACTAGGTCTTTTTATGTTGCTAGAGAGGGTTCTTTGGCTCTTATCCATATTCTCTGTCTTGCACCAGTATTGATAAATTTTATTTTCTCCTGTAGTCTTTCTGAATGTAAAAGTAACATCCTTCTCTGATAAATTAAAGAGGCTATTAGTTTTGTGATGGTAGAAACTTTTGATAAGGGATAGGCTTCCCAAGGCATGCAGGATATTACGGTTCATTCACTGCTCTGTATGATTTGTTTTGATTCTAGCATTTGATTGGATCCTTGTTGACTTGGTAATACTCATAGCATGAGGCTCATCTCGTTGAAGATGGAATTGCAATCCCAAGTTTCCGACATGTTACATGCAAATTTACATCAAGTGAGGAGGATTATGTTGATTCAGATGACACGATTAATGGTGATCCAATTGCTGTCCCTGCCACTCTCCATCCAAGGTATGCAGATTTCAAGCTAATTGCAGTCCCAACAGTACGAATGAAACGAGAATTGAAACGGAGACCTTTGTCAAATGGGTGGACGCAAAAGAGGGTATATTTGCTTTTGCCCCCTTTTTTTTGTCTTTTTGCTCATTCATTAAGGACGGGTTAGATTTCAATCTCCATTGATTTGCTCCAAATTTTTGGTCTGGATGATAAACTATCTGTTGTGAAGAAGATATGCGGAACAGTTGTGGAACAAAATGTTCAACGTTTGTTGGTTTTGAATTTCATTTCAATGCAGGATCCAGATGAACCTGTCATGTTATTTACAAAATCTCTGGATCCAGACAAGCTTGCCGCTGCAGGCATTGTGCCACCTGTTTTATCTGCAGAGAATGAGTCAGTTGTATCACCATACCGATTCTGTGGTCGGATTGGTCGAGGAGGGCGCATCATATTTGACCGATGGAATTCTCTTTTCCAAGATCCGGATGCTCAGGAGAGGTCACACTATCCAGCATTAAATCCAAGGCCTCTTCCACCGAATGGTTGAACAATTGCACTTGGTTTTAGTGCTTCATGCGAAGACATATAATTGAGAAAATTGTCATGGCTCGAGCTCACATTAGCTCCTGAAATGATTTTGTTGATCCAGAAAGACCTCTGATCATCAGGATGTTACATGCACCATCGTAGCAAACTGCAGACGTCTGCTCGCTGATGATGCATGCTGAAGGAGCATGGGTTTGTCGAAGTTGAGTTGGGCATTTTTAGATTTCCAGTCAGTTTATAATTATATACTTTGCAGATCAAAAGCCAGAACACTAATTTCTTCATGGCTTGTCTCATTTTCGGTCTGTAAGGGTGCAATCCGATGCCATTGCTATTTAGCTGCTCTTATTCTTAATGAATATTTGTTCATACCTCAATTTTTTTTCTGGACTTTACATTGGTGCCGATAGTCAAACAAGAATTTAAATCTGCAGGTGGCATTATGATTACCTCCATACTACTGCCCAATGGAAAGGTCTTTCCATAGCAGCAGATTAATTTGTTCCAATCAAATGCCATGGACCTGTTACTTTTTCTGTGAGCACCTACTTCTGTTCATTCAGCTCATTTGTCATTCAAATATGTGCATATTTTTCTTACTCAAAAGTTGTTTCTGTATTAGTCATAGCTTAAAATTGCTACTACATTGTGGAAAATATGAGATGGATCTGCTTCATTTCATTATCTTCTTTGCTTGGTTAATATGTATATGCATATATTTATTAGGAGGAAAACAAAGAGGCATAAGAGAACTGTTAATGCTTAGTTAATATGTATGTACATATATTTATTAGGAGGAAAGCAAAGAGTCATAGAGAACTGTTAGAAAGAATACAAGATAAGAAGAATTATTGAAGAAGTTTTATTGAAGAAGTTTGAATGCATTAACATAATAAAAATTTTTTTTGGAAAAATCTTATTTGCTATCGAGAACTATTAATTTGTTGATTGTTCTTCAATCGATTCTTCTGTGATCATTCATAAGTCCATAAATCGATTTCACTCAACAGAATAGAGGATTTCTTTCAACAGAATATAAAATTTTTTTAGAAAATCTTATCTGCTATCAAGAACTATTAATTTGTTGATTGTTCTTCAATCGATTCTTCTGTGACAGTTCATAAATCCATGTACATGTCAAAGTCTGCCATGGATGGTAGAAGAAATCCCTCTACAAGTGAGCCAAATTAATGGAAAGGAACAGTAGCATTTGAATCAATCCCTCTGATGATCATAAAACTACTAAGAACTTCCTGGATTTTTCTGATCCAGAAAGAATTTTCCCATCGATCGATAAAGTGCATCAAATTACTTCTTTAATCTGATCCAATTTCTTGAGTCCATGATTCCATCCAACTCATGAGGGGTTTATCTCCAATCAACTGCGAGTGTTGGTGTAGCAGTTGCTTTCCGCTTCCTTGCTTGCAACCATGAGCCCACCTAATTCAAATCACATCTGTCCCTGAGAGGGACTCATGATGTCCAACTTCTCCTTGTAAGATTCATGGTGGCTTATCGACTCCTTAGTCGTCAATGTGTTCGTGCAAGCTTTCCTCACCTTCTTCAACCGGTTTGACTCACGATACATCTGAAATGTGCGTACGGGATCCTTTCTTCAAACCTAGCACAGGTGGGCTGATGATTGATGACAGAAATCTCCAGTTTCAACACACACACACACAAAAGTCCTATCAATTATTCACTGAACCCAAGAGGTTATTTCGCCCATAAACACCTCGATTACTGCCACACACATTCCCATTAGACCCATTGAGGATGTTAGACACCCAAAACCTCATACCGATCACTGCAGAATGGGTGCTTTGACCCAGATCACTGCAACTTATTTTGCATTCAATATACTTGTATTTTGATAATAGATCTCGAATATAGATAGAAAAATTTAAAATATATAAATTTTATTTTACTCTTAGAAAATAGTTTAAGATTCTTAGATTTTGATGAAGAATTAATTTGTCGATTACATAAGGAATTATTTAATCTCTATGAAATTATTGTCTGTGATCATTATATCATCTACAGACTAATAGATATATAGTACATCTCTTTTGTTGTCATAGGAATAAAGAACTATGGGATTTGGAGTTGATGAAACTGACTAACACAGAAAACGAGCTAGATTCTATATATCAAGCTCTTTGAGCTTGTCCAAATCTAAAATAGCTTTTTGTAGTTTATAAATATGGTTTGGATATTATAGGTGGATGAAGCTAGAAGGTTAATGTATAAAAACATCTTCAATTAAGGTCTCTTGCAATAAAGCATTATTAATATCTAGTTGACGTATATGATAGCCTTTAGTGATAGCTAAACTAAGGATGAGTCGAATTGTTATTGATTTAACAACTAGACTAAAGGTCTCTATAAAATCAACACATTGTCGTTGGTGAAACATTTTGGCCACTATAGGTGCTTTATATCTGACAATGGATTTATTTGGGTTTCACTTAATTCAAAAGATTCATTTACATTTAATGATATTTTGTGTGAGATAAGATGATATAAGAGTCCACATGATATTATGGAGTAGAGCATCATAATCTTCACACGTAACTTTACGCAAGTGTAGATATTTTTGGGCTCGGGTGATACTTATGAGTTTAGTATGGTCAGTTGGAGAGCTTATGGTAGCATAAAAATTAATGATTTAGCATGGTTAAACTATGTTATTTTTTGAACGTGTTATCATGTGATATTCAAGCTCGATGGTATTACTGGGTTATGTTGATGCTATGAGAATTTGTGAACAGTTAATGACATATACGTAATTACACTGATGCACTTCGATATCACTTGGTCTATGAAAGAACAAAGATATCATTTGTGGTACCAAGAGCGTTGCTTCTTTGATAGAGAGGTTGATTGAGAAGTTATAAAAGAGGTAAAGTATTGCTGAACTAGAATAATAAAATAGTACAAGTTTATAGAAGAACTATTTGTTGATATGGTAAGAGATGCACTTGAGAAGGGTTTGAGGTGCACTCATATGAACTCAGTGATTGATTATTGTTGTAATGGCTTGAATTGCTAAAGGATTAAGATTTTAAAAGGGAAATGTTGACTCATAACATGATGTAATACGAATACCTTATGAGTTTAAGAATCAAATCATCAAAAAACATTATATTCAAGAGAGTATCTGATGATAAAGATGCATGACTTAGATCTTGATGTTGACTTATGTGAAACATAGAGACATAGTTAGGGAAGATTTTGTGAAGTAGTCTTTCAAATGGTGACCAGTGTTGTAGGATTTGGGTGAACATATGGTTTAATGAGATAGACGATAGTTTGAAAAGCTATTGACCAAAAGATTAGTGATATAGAGGCTTGGTATAGGAGGGTGAGATTAGTTTCAACTATGTGTCGATGTTTTCGTTCAGCAAAGTCAAATAGTTGAGGTATGTGCGGTGGTGACTTAGATATTGTATACCTCACTATCAGAGGTAAATTGTTAAAGCTTGGTATTCATCATCAAAGGAAGTAGTTGGAGCAAGGCTCCAAACAATAGTATAAATAATTTCAAGTGGTTTGGAACAGTATATAGAAGACGTTTCAACAGTAAGTTTGTGACTTTTATTACTAACATAAGAATCACAATGAGTAACAGTTTTATTTGGTTTAGAAGTCGAAAAGAAGTAATAAGAAATTAGTTTTTGTTGAATAGAGAATGATGAATAACAAAAGCGACAATATCACACATCTATTAGAGCAGTAATAGAAGAAATAGTGATTGACCGAGTGATTTGTGAGGTTCACCGTCACTCATAGATATTGTTTTTATTTTGATCTCGGACCAAAGATGTCTTGTGCTCATGTCTTCTATAAGAAACGAGACAAGAAAGAACTCAATAGATATATTATTTTATTTATAAAATTAAGAGATAAAAATAAGATTCATTTTGATATAAGATACACACAAAATATCATACAGTCTAAAAATATTCCCATATAAATTAATTATCATAGAATGAATATGAGTGATAGGGATTCTATCACCATCATCGTCAACAATGTTTTCAATTATGTAAATCATATGTGATATGATGTGAAGCTCCAGCAATTGGATAACATGTGTGTTTTAATCGGGGAACGAGGTGGGAGCGTTCTTATCGGCATTGTGTTGCCTGTGTTCAGTGTATTCTTACTGTTGCTTGCCCCGTACAAGACCGAGGAGTCGAGACCTAGTTACGTTGACTAGTTGGAACCCGTCTGGTGTTCTCGAGCCTCTCAGCATCGATGTTGCCACTTTTGCCCACCGACTCGAGGCCACCAATGGCTTCGGTGCTGACAGATTAATCGGTACTGGTGGATCCGGAGACGTCTACAAGGCCCGACTAAAGGATCGAAGTGATTGATTTCAAGATTGGACTTCTCTTCCTTGCAGCATCAGAAAGCTACTGATTTGTTGATTGTTCTTCGATCGACTCTTGCATGAATTATTAGATAGACACTAAATTGTTGCTTAGTTAGCTGTATATTTGATGGAATCTTCTCAGAATCACTTCGTCCTCCGTCCCGACTGTGCAACTGGGGACAAAAGTAAGTTTTCTCCTTGGGATATTATTACCCGTATTTTCTGTCATCAGCCACAATGACAGTCCATAAATCCATGTCCTGAAAGGTCCTGCGTCAGAGCAGTGTCATGACATAAGAAGTCTGCATCATAATCCAGAAATTTATTTCGAGTGCATCAATTATCCAGTATCTTCAGTCCAGGCTTGCAACTCAACTGCGAGCGTCGTCGGTGTAGTAGTTGCACTCCGCTCCCTTCCCTGCCTTGCAACACCGAACCCACCTAATTCACATCACATCTGTCCCTGAGGACTCATGATCTCTAACTTCTCCTACTAAGATTCGTGGGGTCTTATCGACACCTTAGTTGTCACCATATTCGTGCATGTTTTCCTCACCTTCTCCAACCAGTTTTGACTCCTGATACATCTGAATGTGGGAATGGGATCCTTTCTCCAAACCTAACACAGCTAGGCTAATGATTGATGACAAAAGTCTCCCAGTTTCAACACACAGACACACAAGTCCTATCGATATAAATCAACATATGTATATCTTTCTTGAGGCAGCCAACTATTCTCGCTAGGTTTAGGAAAGGTAGGGTAGTTTGCAAGATCAAAGACCAGAGAGAACCAAAAATCACAAGGCTAGTTAAGGAGCATTGTATTTATGATCCTATGGGACTCATAATGGAGAGGCGACTAGAAGACATAACCTCATCACTTAACTAGTGTTATCTTATCATACTAGCTATAGACAGGCACCTAAATGAAGAGTAGGATGGAGGAAAAGGTTCATGGATAGTCCAACTTCATCTTTTCCTCTCCCTACGACAGCCGGTGATGGGGAAATCTAATCGTAGATAACGGAGAGAGACGACTAGAAAATTACGGCACGCAAATTACAAGATCATCTTGCGTTGTATTTTATCGTGGTGAGGGTGTGAGAAGTGGGGGCAGATGCCTCGCACCCATTCAAGCAAAAAGCTCAAACATTCATGCCCCCATTTGGTTTGATTTAATGTAGGTGTCACGAGGAGCACCAACATCCATGTCAGGCACAGTGGTGGAACCCCCATGCAAGCATCCCTGTGCTGCCTCTCGTGGCATTGGGAACGCCCCCCTTCCTTCGTGAGTGCATGCATGCAGGAAGCTATTGATTACAGTATGTGAAGAAGGAGCTTCTCACGTAGCACAAGGATCTCTGTGTCAGGGCGGAATCATCTCCCCTCCATACTCCTGTCCACCTCGCCAAAACAATCCCTTGGATCGATGCACGTGCGAGCAGAGGAAGAAGGAGGCTCCTCAATCGGAGTGCTCGTTGCCACCGCTCTCGCGCTACATGACGACGATATCCTGACAAAATAATTCGCATGGGTCGTTATCTCATTAAAGATTAAGGTTAGGTGGAAGTAGCCGAGCAGAGGAGGAAGACGATGACGACGTGACTTGCCGCGATGGAGTGTCGGATTGGGTTTGGCATCGCGAGCGCAGACTCGTGCGACAGCTGTCGGGCGCACGTGTGGAACCTGAGATACCCAAAACACCCCTGAGCGCTTCCGGTTCTGCGCACTCACCGGTGACGCCTAAAGGAAGAACGACAGTGGAAAAGCGGGGGCAGACAGACTCCGCATCTTTGGTGCGGTACGCTTACCCCACATGCTGCCACCCGTCGTTGTCGGGCGTAACGCAAGACAAAAAGACACGGCCCCGCATTAATTGCCGCTCGTGCGCACCCACCAATACGTCGCGTGGGGCCCACCCCTCCGGTGAGGGTAAATATGACCTAGACGAAATATTTTTAGATCGGCGGTTTATTACCGATGATTCCGCTTCTGATACTTTTCCCAAACTAGCCCCCATCCGCCCCCAACAACTACAAGACTGCCACTGTGCATTTGTGCGGTAAGGAATCGGTGCGTTCGCCAGTTAGATGATGAATCCAATGGTGACGACTGTGGAGGATCTGTTCATGTCCTTGTCACACATGCATTCAACAAAGGATGCCTTGGCCTGACTTCTTTTTGTTCTCTTGCAGTGAAAATTACGTGCTACGTGCCACCAGGCTCCATTGATTAGAAGATCCAAAGTACAGGTTCCATTGATTAGAAGATATCTAGTTTGCCATGATCATGCGTCAGTCAAGGACAGGGAGTGAGCTGCAAGTACAAGCAAGCAGCTGCGCCACATGCTCTGAATCATGGAACAGAACGCAACTTGTGAATTCATGAAGAATGAACAGATAATATAATAACAAGGCAAGTCTGCCATATGTCATTTGCTTTTCCTTTACCCCCTTTGCATGGAGCTGCCTCCTGATTTAACGGGCAATAAGGCTAGTCTACTTCTTGAAACCTTCGATTCTGCAGGGTGAGCGGAGAAGAGCAAACTGGAGGTTTCAGATGATGAGAAGCTTTATTGGAAAGGAAGTATTGTCTGGAAATTTCTGGCTGAGTATGTCATGATGATGTGTTTTGTCTGTATTGGAGGAGACCCATTTGGAATCATGCACAACAGGGGCACCTCTACAGTGCCGGATTCCGGTGGTCATCTTAAACTTAGCCCCTTCAAGGAGGTCATCCTCCTCCCCCCTCATCTTCCATTCACTGCATGCACTGACAACATGGCTTCTGGTGAACTGTACTTGATCTTGACACCTCCTCCACCATACACGTGAATTGCCTGTTCTGCTCAGCTGCAGATTCAAACTCGTTCCCGAACAAGAAGATGTTGGCCTACCACCATCATAGAAATCCTGCAGAATATAGATGAGCAAGGAGAATGTGGAAGCACAGAGGGGTAGGGGAGGAGCTGCGGGAGAAGAGAGTTAAGGGGTTAGTTTATTTTTTGGGAAAGAGGGGATGCCAAAAAGGGAGACTCGTGAGCATCAAATCCCGAGTTTGACTGACTCGGCAATGGAGAGACAGTAAGGAGAAAAAGGAGGAAAAGAAAGAAAAGGTTTTGCTTTGTTAAATCTTTGGTAATCGAACTATTACTTTCCTTCTTACGAGTGAAGATGGAAGCAGACAAACCCTCCAAAGCACCATTAGATTAATTAATTAGGCGCTAAATGTTTCTCCTTTGCCTCCTCGCCTTTTCTTCCGCCTTGGCTGGTGTCTTCGCTTCTCCTTCCCCTCCTCCTCTTGCCACAAACCTCTTCTCTCACTAAATCCTGCCTGAATCCGTTTCTCTGCAACCATCAAAATCCTTTTCTGGTTGGTTCTGGTTGCCCTAGCCATTTCTTTGTAGGATCGTTCGAGATCGATGCCTACACCTCGTGAGGGTCAGTTTTCGCTTCAAAGATGCCATTTTTCTTCAGTCTCATTTTCTTCCAGAATTTGATTCTTTTCTTTTTCTTGGTTTTATTGGGGTTTATCTACAGATTCTTGATTTTTCAGGTGCCGGGGATCTTGGAGTGATCTCAAAATCTGATCTTTCTTCTGCGCCGTCGGCGGCTCGATGAAGGCCTTCATCAGTAAGTCGGTGATTCTTCTTCTACTGTTCTTCTTCTGCTTTACAAATGGCAGCAGAGTCGTAAGATTTCCTCTTTTGGAGCTCGCAGAGGTTTCTGTTTACGTTGCCAGCGGTCCTCAGATGTGAAGGCTCGCGAAGCCGAGGAGGAAGAGGAGCAACGATTCTAAAAAGGAGTCTTCTGTGTTCCTTCCCACAGTCTCGAGCAATGGAAAGCGACAGCTTCGCCTTCCTCTTCCTCTTCTTGATAACCTTAACTGCTTTCCCTTCGTCCATGGCGGCACCTGAGGAGGTCTCTGCTTTGATCCGATTCAAGCGCTCGTCAGTTGACTCCGATCCGAAGGGCTTCCTGCAGAACTGGACGGTTGATGGTTTTGATTCCGGCAGCAGCTGGTGTTCGTGGACCGGCGTCGTGTGCTCGGCAGCCGACGGCCGGGCTCGCAGCTTAAATCTCAGCAACATGGGCCTCACTGGCCGCCTTAACCTCGAGCATCTCATGGCGCTTCCGAGCCTCCGCTATCTCAATCTCCGCGGGAACTCCTTTTACGGCAACCTCTCGTACAGCAGCACGGCATCGTCACTTCCCTGCGGCTTCGAGACGGTGGACTTATCGTCGAACACTTTCAACGAGACCATTCCCTCCAAGTTCTTGTCCTCCTGTCCGCGCCTGGTTTCTCTCAACCTGTCGAGGAACTCGATCCATGGCGGGATCTTTCCATTCGAGGCTTCCATACGGGAGCTCGATCTGTCTCGCAACCGAATCTCCGATTACGGGCTGCTCAACTACTCCCTCTCGAGCTGCAGCGGCCTCAGCTACCTCAACTTCTCCGACAACAAGCTCACCGGGAGGATGGGGGACGTGCCTACCTGCACGAACCTCACGTTCCTCGACCTCTCCTACAACAACCTCTCTGGGGATTTCTCGACCTTCGACTTGGGGACCTGCGGCAGTATGATGGTGCTGGACTTGTCCTACAATGGGCTCAATGGCACTGCGCTGCCCCTGAGCTTGGCCAGCTGCCGTAAGCTTGAGGAGCTCAACCTCTCGGGCAACAATTTCACTGGCGAGATCCCATCGTTCTGGAAGAACTTTGTGAGTTTGCAGCGTTTGTCATTGGCAAACAATCGGTTTTCTGGTGAAATCCCGCCTGAGTTGGGTCAAACATGTGGGACTCTGGTGGAGCTCAACCTCGCTGGCAATGGCCTCACCGGTGGCCTGCTGTCGACGTTTGTCTCATGCTCTTCGCTCCAAAGACTGGACCTCGGAAATAACCAGCTCTCAGGCGATTTCATCGAGCATGTCATTAGTACTCTGCCTGCTCTGAGATATCTCCACCTCCCATTCAACAATATCAGTGGCCCCGTGCCGTTGATGGCACTGACCAGTTGTTCACTGCTTGAAGTTATTGATCTCGGCTCCAATGAGTTCACTGGTGAAATCCCCACTGGGCTATGCTCATCTCTTCCAAACCTTGAGAGGATCTTGTTGCCCAATAATTTTCTCTCAGGAGCAATGCCTCTTGATCTTGGTAATTGTACTAATCTTCGGTCACTCGATCTTAGCTTCAATGAGCTGAACGGGCCGGTTCCCCCAGGGATCTGGTCGCTTCCGAAGCTTGTGGATTTGGTGATCTGGGCCAACAATCTCTCTGGTGAAATACCAGAAAGCCTCTGTTCAAACAGCACCAGCTTGGAGACGCTAATTCTCAGCTACAACATGCTCACTGGTAGCATTCCGTCGTCACTTACCAAGTGCGTGAATCTTGTATGGGTCTCGCTCTCTGGCAACCGCCTCACAGGAAGGATCCCCAGTCGTATTGGGAGGCTCCAGAGCCTTGCAATTCTCCAATTGGGTAACAACAATCTCACGGGGGAGATACCACCGGAGTTCGGTAGCTGTCAGAACCTCATATGGCTTGACCTTGCAAGCAATCGCCTTAGCGGCCCTATTCCTGGAACACTGGCATCACAAGCTGGGCTTATAGTCCCAGGCATTGTCTCCGGCAAGCAATTTGCATTCTTGAGAAACGAGGCTGGGAACATATGTCCAGGGGCCGGCGTGCTCTTCGAATTTGAGGATATCCGGCCCGAGAGATTGGCCAACTTCCCTTTGGTGCATTCTTGCCCTGCCACTAGAATTTACACTGGGACAACAGTCTATTCTTTTCCGGGCAATGGAAGTATGATCTACCTGGACCTCTCCTACAATTCGCTCTCAGGGACCATCCCAGAGAAATTTGGGTCAATGGACTATCTCCAAGTTCTAAATTTGGGGCACAATGAGCTTACAGGGACCATACCTGAGACTTTTGGTGGCTTAAGAATGATCGGCGTGCTTGATCTCTCCCACAACCATCTCACTGGAAACATCCCTGGAGCGCTGGGCAGCCTCACATTCCTGAGTGACATGGATGTCTCAAACAACAATCTCAGTGGACCGATTCCGACCACAGGCCAGCTTACAACATTTCCGCCAACACGCTATGAGAACAATTCTGGCCTTTGTGCCCTTCCCTTGCCCCCCTGTGGAGCCAAAGCCAGCAACCATGACTTCTATTATGATTCTGGTGGGAGGAGATTCTTTGGTTGGAGCATTCTTATCGGCATTGTGTTTTCTGTGCTCATTGTATTCTTACTCTTGCTCGCCCTCTACAAGATGAAAAAGCACCAGAAGACTGACGAGTTGAGAGTTGGTTATGTTGAGAGTCTCCCCACCTCTGGTACCACTAGTTGGAAGCTGTCTGGTGTTCTCGAGCCTCTCAGCATCAATGTTGCCACTTTCGAGAAGCCTTTAAGGAAGCTTACTTTTGCCCACCTCCTCGAGGCCACCAATGGCTTCAGTGCTGACAGTTTAATCGGTTCTGGTGGGTTTGGAGAAGTCTATAAGGCTCGACTCAAGGATGGAAGTGTTGTTGCAATCAAGAAGCTGATACATGTCACCGGCCAGGGGGATCGGGAGTTCACTGCTGAGATGGAGACTATTGGCAAAATTAAGCACCGAAATCTTGTACCTCTGCTGGGCTATTGCAAGATTGGCGAAGAGAGGCTTTTGGTTTATGAGTACATGAAGTTTGGAAGCTTAGATATGGTTCTCCATGACAAGAGCAAGGGTGGAGCCACCAAGCTGGATTGGGGAGGAAGGAAAAAGATTGCAATTGGGTCAGCAAGGGGGCTTGCTTTTCTTCACCACAGTTGCGTACCTCATATCATACACCGGGACATGAAGTCCAGCAATGTGCTATTAGATGAGAACTTGGAAGCCCGGGTATCAGATTTTGGAATGGCGAGACTTATGAATGCTCTTGACACCCATCTCAGCGTGAGCACTCTTGTTGGTACACCAGGCTATGTGCCACCTGAATACTACCAGAGTTTTAGATGCACGACAAAGGGGGACGTGTATAGCTACGGAGTGGTGCTTTTGGAGCTCTTGTCGGGGAAGAAACCTATCGACCCATTGGAGTTTGGTGACAACAACCTTGTTGGCTGGGCTAAGCAATTGGTGAAGGAGAACAGATGCAGTGAGATTTTTGATCCAGATTTGATGGGGAAGAAGTTAGGGGATGCCGAACTCTACCAGTATTTGAAGATTGCCTTTGAGTGTTTGGACGATCAACCGCTTCGTAGGCCAACTATGATTCAAGTCATGGCAATGTTTAAAGAGCTTCAGGTTGACACCGATAGTGATTTCCTTGATACGTATTCCATCGGACGAGCCATCATTGATGAATCAAGAGAAAAAGCACCTTAATCTCTTCCAGGGTCACACAGCTGCAAATTTTGTTTCAACAAAGATGGGGTGGTGACCATCTATGACATCTATGATCATCGCAGCAGCCCTTTATATCACACCTGCAGCATTTTAATTACTGTAAATATGACAAGAATGTTCCATTAGGCAGAAAGAGAAACGCATAAATCATATAGCCTTGTTTTTCATTGGGAGGAAGGGAAGAAAGGAGATGTAACCTTAGGTCATTGCGGAGCTCAGGCCGGTATACTTCTCTATTCCTGTCATAATGTATCAAACCACAGTTTTCTGTTCATCATTTACATTTTTGCAATTGGATTCATGGCACTGAACAGGTATAGCATTTGTATACATGTTTGGTTATGTGGTTTTCTTGTATGACTTCTCGTGCTGTCGATAATGCCAGATCTTAGTATGGCTCCTAAATGTGAGATTTCTGTCACCAGACTTAGTGTTGACAGATTCACTACTCTTCTATTTTCTCTGAGCTTGGGAGGTCAATGGCAGCAGCCCCTGTGAAAGATCTTATCCACAAGGTTTGATCTGTTTCTTAGTTTCCACCTAGGCATGAACGTATCAAATCTGTGAATCAATTGGAACATGTGCTAAGCTATGGACAAAAGTATGTATGTATATATATATATATATGTATATATATATATATATAGGTATATATATATATATACATATGTATATATGTATATATACATATGTATATATGTATATATATATACATATATACATATGTATATATATATACATATATACATATGTATATA